ATTAGTGTTTTGAAATAAATTGTGAAATATCAATATATATAAAAAAAGTTTGCTTGGTAATTTTAAAAATGAAATCATTAACTAGGTGTAGACGACTATATATATATATTGTGTATGATTTTCAATAATATAAAATTTGATAGAATCAGTGGCGAACAAGGGGAGATTAGAGAAATATATCTCCCCTTGACCTTCTGTTTCAGTATCTATTATTTGTTCGACTATTTGATTTTAAATTAAAATTTCTTTATTTTTAGGTACAAAAAAATCAACAATCAAAAAAACCTGAACGTGCTTGTTGTTGAAAACGAAACCCGTCCAAACCACTATAATATGAAAAAGATTAAAACGTAAATCAATGGTAATCACATACATACAAAGGTTGTTAAAATCTATACATAGGAGTTAAAAAACAAGGAATCAATTTCAACTTTTTTACAAAAAATATCTATATTTATCTTCTTTCCGTTTCATATTGTACACGGTGTACAGCGTGACACAATTTCTGAATTCAACATCTCCCTTTTCGGCAAAATCTTAAATACTGGCCACTGGTCAGGGTTTCCTTTTAGGAATACGAGTTTTCGAAATTATTATCGGATTAACATGATATTTTAGAGGGATATTACAAAACCGGCAAATGCAAATAATCTTTCGACCGGTTCAGAAGAACATATATATGTCCATTGTTCATATATGTTCAGATTTGTATTGTAAGACAAATAAACGATAATAATAATAAGTATTCATTTTCATTTTTTTTTTATAGCAGACTCTATTAAAACACGCGCAAATAATTAGTTTTATCATTTAAATAACGCGATAATTCTAAGTAAACATTATTTGTACAACTATCTAAAGATGTGTTACATACGTCGGACGGTTAATGTAGTTTAATACAATGTGTACAGTTTTGTGCAAGTTTGATTTAGGTAAAAAAATATTATATTAATGTATGCGGCATCAGTTAATAACAAGTTGCCGCGTAAAAATACAAGATACAAGTTACGAATGTAACTCAGTTACGCATCTCAAACATAAGTATATTTCAGTCGCTGTCCTGATAATGGGTTAGTTATCAGTAGATTGATTATAGCAAGCCGAAAATTCGTATCAATAGTTATAATTTACAAAATGTATAAACCCCCTACAATGTCCTCCGCGACATTTCTATACAGGTATTAAATTCGTTTGGAATTCAAAAAATGTTTTTATAATTGTAATTTTTGTAGTCGAATCGACGGTAGCATATTAAGTACGCCCATAAAAATACAGTGGCCAAACACGGGGTGAGTCTCGAAAATCGAACGGTGACGATAACATTTACACAAACAGGTATTTATTTTGTTATTTTGAACACACGCCAAAGAAAATATAACACGTCCAAATGAACGATAAAAAAGCGAATAAGTTTTGTTTTTTTTTTTTTTTTTACGACTATTACGTGCGTTATACAATTAATAATTTAATTATTATTATTATTATTAATTAATATTGAATTAGTTAGAGTGTTCTCGTAAAATACCTACATCGGTGTATGTCGTACAGTGTGCGAAATTTCTGAACACATTTTCGGAAATTAATACAGTTACAATTTACCGAATAATATATAGAGCAAATCTAAATCATTCGTTTAAACGGATCGTTGGAAAATATAATATGTAATAATGTCAAATATAATAATCGTTTTTTTTTTTTTTTTTTTTTTTTTTTTTTTATTTGAACACTGTATTATGTGTCGTCACTTAAAAAGAAATTATAAAATATATACATTATACGTACATATTAGTTATTATGTTCTTATTTTTTAAATTTAACCTAACCCAAGATAAGCCAGCCGGTAAGGTCAAGTCCTAACCTAACCTTACCAATATAATATTGTCATCCAATTAAAATATACGTTTCTATTATCATAAAAACCGCAAACATATATAATATTTTTTTTTTAAATCAAATTATAAATTATTCTTCTGCGGTTTTTTACACGACTCTATTGAAATATAATTATTAGCCTAACACTATAATAACGTTCCCTCCGTTTCTCCCGACCCTGGACAATATTTATCTATTTGTACGTTGCCAAATTCTTTAAAATTATTTTAAACCCCAGGCGACCGTTTTTCTCCCTCGAGTTCTCTTTCCGCCCGGTTTCCAGTCCGGAGCCGCTTTAACAACGGCTCAATCGTTTTGGGCGCATTAAGTCCAATGCCTATATTAAGACCGCAGTGGACTGAAGGAACCAATCGCCAATACTTTCTCAAGTAATTCCTTATTGTAGATTTCCTTCTCCGCCTACCGGAATTATACCGTGAAGTGTTGCGCCACGAATCACCCGACAAATTGTATACGTTCAAAAGTTACGAGTCTACGCTTTCTGTTGTTGTCAAAGGCTTGTGCCCCAGGGACGTCATTTCAGTTTTGAAAAGTAATTTTGAAATTTTTCCGGGCCGTATAATAATAGTATCCTGCCTTTAATTTTTTCATCGACCATGGATCGCATCAACATAAAAACGATTAAATAACTAAAAGCTAACAAATAATTGATCACTTTAGCCCAGTGGTTCTCAACTGGTGGTCCGTGGACTCATCTTAAGTGGTCCGCGAATAAAAAAATTTAAATTTAAAAAAATGAGCGAAATCATACTTGATATTTTTTATTATTAACGGCTTAGCGCCTAACAGCCAGATAACACACTATCGCGACCGATGACAATTTATGTACGGATATAAATAACATTATCTATAACTATAACTATTATCTATAAAAAATAAACAACGAAATCGTCTGAATCCAAGTGATGATATGCGACTGGCACTAAGCAACAGCATCGTTCCAAAAATCTCACAACTGGTAAAAGAAGCGCGCCCTAATAAGTCACATTAATACTCAATAATATAAATTTGTTATATTTTTTTCTCATTGAATAAGTTAATTAATATAAGTTCGTAAAATGTAAAATTTAAATTTGTATCAGCTTTTTTTATTAAATTAAATTTTTAAATAAATAAGTTAAAATATTTTTCCACGACATAAACTGTATTTCTGATTTTATTTTGTACCTAGAAATTATAAACTATATATAAAACTATAAAAAAAAAATAAGTGATATAAAGAGGGGGGGTGGGGGTTGAAATCAGGGAGTGGTCCGTGACGGTGAAAAATTTATAAAAGTGGTCCGTGCCTATTGTTGAGTTGGGAACCACTGCTTTAGCCGTGAAAACCAAAAGAATAAAAATTCAGCCAGAAGAAAAAAAGACGTCATAGGATAATGGGGATGGGTGCAACAATGGTTATATATGGTTTATTGTTGTTTACAGGTAGACATTAAATAAAAAATCGATTCTGAGCGAGTTCAGTAAATAGTGATACTTTGTCAACAATGTATATATATATATATATATCATTTTATAGTAAAATAATTAAATGAGCTTTATATATTTTCTTTAATAATGTCGTAAGTAGTTTTATCCTGGTTTTTCGCATTAATCGGGAAAGTGCTGCAATCGACAAATGACAAAAAAACCTTTTTCGTTTCATTGTACATCTAAGTTTCTTATGGTACAAGTTGTTTTTCGATTTCATAATGGTTCGGTAAAACCAGACTTGAAAAATGGACAGAACACTCACATTCAGTAATCAAATTCAATCGAAACTCGCAATTGCGGTACGTCAAAATTATACATATTACCGAACTGCGCTCGGAATCGTCTTTCGTCAGCGAATGGTTCACCGTTGCCCACAGATGCATAAATGCAATAATCATATGTATCCTACCTTCTCAACTTCTCGCCTACGACAGTGGTCGCTCCCGTTCCCGGTATCGGCCCTTTTTTGATTTTAGCGGTATGCATCGTCCACGGCGAACTAAGATTCTAATGGTCCGACCTGCGGTTTTGTACGTTAAGCAACGATTGTACAGTATATACATTGTTTACCAAATTAATCGGTAGCACGATATGTGCTACCGATGTGCCCAATTTACGTTGTGACCGCGACTGACAGTAAAATAGCAATTTTTCGTGGACGTAATTGTACGAAAATAATAGTGCGATATTTCAGCGGGCCGATTCGGACTGTATTGAGAGTAAAAGGTGCAGCCGCACACCCTGACCCTCCCCCAAACGACGCCCCCGTCTCGCAACCGCGGGCGAGCCCGGCCGTAATTATTGACGCATATACACCTGTGCGGCAGTGGGGGAGATTATGGAGGGACGGAATCCCCTTACTTATTTGACGGAAGATCATTGTCTTTATTAGTTCTTTGAAGTCATTGGAGTCCAGGGGAACGCTTTATGTATCGTCTCTGAATAATTTTCAATTGAGTTACATAAACACTCACACTAAAGATTAAATATAAATTCTTTAACAATGGTTTCTATACTTTTACATACTCGGACTGTTTGACTTTAATTTTACCGAGCAGATATAATATATGCAAGATAATTTTTTTTTTTTTGAGTGGGGGAGAAGTGAGTTGTTTTTTAAACCTCATTAGTATAGAATTTATATGACCGAATGTACGTGAGAGAATATAATATAACGTTGTATAATATTATGTGTCACATAAAATATGTTTTCAATTTCATATATTTTAGATTCTGAGCGTATTGGTTTTAATATATGTGTTTTTTTACCAGTCAGAAAACTACTTTTCTATCTGTGATCTTGCTCCAATTGAAAAATAACAAGGCATCTTATTTTGTATTCAATTGATGCATTTCTACAGGAATCAATTTTTTTTTTTTTTTTGATTTTCCAATGTGATTTCAAAATAACTGGGACAAACCGAGAAAAAAAATATAGGACAAACTGACAAATTTCTATGGCGTACGATTTAATTGTTTTAAATTTGTATCATATGTTTTATACCAGAAATTTTGAACCGAGAACAACAAATTAAAATTAATAATATGAGAATAGCTGTAGAAGACGTGTACAATTTTTTTATTAAAATCTATTTAAACTTAATAACCGCGAGATTACACAAGCGCTTTGTGTGTTATACGATAATATCTCCTGGTAATGGATAGTTGTTTATCTTGAATTTTTCTTTTAAAAGCATATTTTCTTTGGTCACACATTCTCTATGCGCTTTCATTTCCTCCAGTTTCGGGCGTAACTTCTTTATTTCCTCTTCGTCCGGATTCGTGTTTACCAGCCTCGTCCGCACGTAACTTGAACGGTACGAAAATCAGTATTAAAAAAATAAAAATAAAAAAAACATCTCATAATAATATTACGACGGCGGCTATAAACCAAAAGGGCGTAAGCGCCGCTTTGTTCAAAATCCACTAATTATTTATAATGATATAAACGCTTGAACAGGAGTATCGATTTCACTAACAACAGTATCGATATTTTTACCGTAGTTTCGATGTTTTATCGAATAAATGAGATTATGGTGTAAATGTCATTCATACAGGTAAGTATACAAGTAAGCGTTTTAAACGAGATTTAAGCGCTCTGCTTTATTTTATTTCTTACACCGTTATTGAACTTTTTTTTGGTTTTTTTTTAGATAATTTCAATACATAATTTGACATTAGCGACAAATGTGCTTTAAACTTTTTACTCGTTAACTGTTTACATTTACAGGATTTGAGTCTGTTAATATTCGATCAATATATTTTTCCGAAAATACCCGTTCGAGAACTCGAAACTAAAACGTAAGATGATCGTACCGAAAATATTGTTGAAATTATTATTTCGATTCCGATAGTGTAGCGAAGAAAATATTTTGTGTACAAAAGTTCTACCAGAAATCTTGCTTCGATATGTACGAGCAGCAACATTGTCTGAAAAGAAATATAGTCCAGATGGTACTTTTGGGAGGTCATTTTTTATACATGCCTATTATCATTCTAGGGGTCCCGAGTTCAAACCCCGGTGTCGAACAAAATTGTTTGCATTTTTTTCCTTCTTTTATCTAAACAAGGAAAAATTAATGCATTTTTGGTTTACCTAGAGACCCAAGCCATTGTTCGCTCAGACTATTTTAATTGAAAAATACTCCTCGATTTGTTGTGCAAACTTTTCTACCAGAAATTTGACTCCGATGTATCAAGCGCGGCTCATTTTATGTAAGAAAATTTCTCCATGGTAATTTAGGGAGATAATTTCCAAGCGGTTTTCATAATATCTATGAAAAACCGGGATAAAATAACAGGAAAACGGAAAATGGACGAAATGTAGATATTAGTAAAAAAATAGTGTGGCCTTTTTTTTTTTCTGGGTACAACTTTTCTACCAGCAATTTAACTTCGATTTACTATGATAACATTTTTTCTGAAAATGTGACTGGGAAGGTACTTTAGGGAGGTTATTTTTTGATTTTTCCAAGAGTTTTCCCGGGAAATGTTAAAAACCGGGAAAAAACACGGTAAAACAGGGGAAAATGCAGAAAAAACGAACAAAAAACGATACAATATTAAACAAATATTATTAAAGAAAATACATAATGCCTATTTAATTGTTTTAACATTTTTTATTAGCATGGTTTATCGTTACTTACAGATGTACATTAGAGGTGCCTATAACAGCGGCTGCACCCGTCTCCTATTGTCCTAGGATGTCTTTTTATTATTATTTTTTTTTCTAAACGATTTTTTTTTGTTCCTGAACAATAATTAAATCTTTAACGCCTACGTACTTTTGGCTAAGAACCGTCGATACTATTTAAATATCTTCTAATAATATTTATATTTTTTTTTATTTTTTTACTCTAAAACTGGAAAATCCATGACGGGATTTTCGTATAAATCCATCAAAATCTCCGTCAACTTGTCCAAAGTTCCAGTCCTGTCCAAATATTTTTGATAGTCTATACGTCTCTCTCGATGAGCGAACTGCGAATAATTTTCAAATAAATAAATTTAGTTAAGAATACTAACTTATGTGTAATGATTGCCTGGTCGGTTAAGAGTTTTCCTTTTGTCTCGTAAAATTCTTTGTCTCGAACGCCTTGATCGCATTCCATCTTGGACTATATAAAACTGTGATGGCGTACCGTGGACCGAATTTATGCAACCGTAATAAATAAAAAAACGAAAATCAACAACGCCCGGTAACTACTAGTGATTTTTTACGTATGTCTATCTGTATTTTAGCATTCGACTAGGAATTGTGAAAAAAAAACAATTAATAAGTTACGAGCTTGTTATAGAATTGCACATTTCTGCAGATCTATTAATTGTTATCGCGGTAAAAATTTAACGGAATAGCTTCCGGGTTGTCTTTTAAAAATACTAATATTTTTCTGAGAGGACATTTTTCAGAAGCGGTTTTTGATTTTACTGATTGGTTTCTTTATAATTAGGATATAGCATAAAGTTTTACCGTAAACGATTTCATTATTTTAGATTTTAGTTTAGATTCTGAGTATTGCGAGTACTTATTGTTGCATTTTAGATCCAATTGGTTTATTGGGGAGGTAATTTTTTGAATTTTCATACAAATTGAGAAAAACCACAAAAAAAAAAAAAAAAAATGCTAAGATACGTGTTTTGTCGTATTTTGATTCTAGTTGTTGATCAAGTAAGTCATTTTTGGACGTTCCAACCCGTTGTTATAATAATTGGAAAATCTGGGAAAGTTTAGGCTAGAATACGGGTTTCGTTATTTTAGATTTTTTTTTTCATGTTGTAAATTGGTTAAAAATTATCGTAGAAAGCTAACATTTTCACAGAATACTTAAATGAGAATTTTCTAGACTACGCGGTAAAATTTCTAAAACATTCAACGATTTTTGAACTATTTATAGGCATTCTGTATTTACTATGGGTTTTTACGTAATTTTTTTATCTTGTAGGCGTTCTACGAATAAAGTGGTTTGATTGTACACGAATGCTATAAAAATTAATGCGATGTTCTTTGTAAGCGGCGACTATTAGTGTTGGAAAAAAAAAAAAAAAAAAAAAAAAAAAAAAAGAATTGAACGTAACGCGAAGTGGGTTTCTTTCGCGAGCGTTTCGACGAAAATCGTAAATATTACGGAGTTTCAGAACATGACGTGCAACCGAACTTCGCTGCTCGGCGTCGATTTTGGTTTTGTTATTATTGTTATATTTTTATTTTTTTTTTTTTCCAGCGAAAACCGGCGAAGCGTAATGGGCGTGAAAAAAAAAATTACTCACCAAACATTGTCCCGCGGGTAACAAATATGCCCACTTAAAATATATATAGGTATACATATATTATAATAATTGATTAGGTACACCCGTAATTTTTCGTGCGGTTCGCCGTCCTAGTACCGCTGCAGTCGCGCGTTACAAATTTACATAATATAATTTTATTGTTACTCGTTTTCGTGCGCCATCAGGGCTGGACGCGCGCGCGGGTCACGATAATATTGTTACGTATTGAACGTGCACACAACGTCATATGGGCACCTAAAAATATTATCGGCTATGCCTAAGTACATCGACCGTCGTAAACCGTAATACCGAAACAATTATATTGTCATCGTCGTCTTGTTACGTGGGCCGACTGCGGCGACGGCAATAACAGGCGTCGTATATTATAATGATGATAATCGTCGTATTATTTCAAAACCGAACGGAATTGACGGCGATATTACATTATAGGTAGACGACACGCGTATAGGTTTATTTACTAAAAAAAAAAAAAAAAACCGAACACTTTGTACATTTTATGTTATATTTTACTTCTTTCCCCTCCTCCCCCCCTCATCCGATTTTTGTAATAATAATAAACTGCGACGATAACCGTAAAAACAAACGCGCTACATTATGGGATCGTCGAACGGTAATTTCCTACACATATTATTCTAGGTACCGTGTAATCATCTATACATGCGCAGGGACTTCTGGCGTTTGCATATTTTTTTCTGAACCGTGTAAAAACTATAGCAGAGTCTTTTAGATGGGGTCAAATGCTGTATAGAATCTAAATAAAAAAATTTGATTGTGTATATGTGTGCATATTTTAATGTTTTTTATTCTCATTGGAGCATATATTAGCAGAATGCGGAATTTAAGTGCAATGACATGTCGTTTATTAAATTTTTAACGCTCCGTGTTTTAGCACATATTCGGTTTTATTTTTAAAGCGTATCTGTATGTTTTTTCGGGTTTAAAGTCCTTAAGCCTAGTAATCACCTATATACACGGTATGTGTACGTAGTATATCCACCGATCAATTTAAAATATTTTATCATGTCCAATAGTGTTTGAAATCTCGTAGGGGTACTACTCGTAGTACCTATGTAACAAGTGTGCTGTAACACGCAGTTATTGTAGCGTTACCTATCCTAAACATAAAAATGTATACGTAGGAGATTATATATGGCCACCCATATAAGCCATTGACTGCGTCGGTGCAAGAGGTCGTATACATAGTTTGTAGTTATTGGTACACAGTTGTTACAGTAAAAATGTGAGAAAAAGTAGTTTTTACGGTAAATATTGTATAAACGTTTAACAATGAATTTAAAATTACAATAAAAATGAAACAAAACTACGGGGAAAGAGAGAGAGAGAGAGAGAGAGAGAGAGAGAGAGAGACTAATATTTTATCGGGTCCCAAAAATAACAGCGAAATAGTATAGAAGTTAAAATTAAGCATATAAAAGTAAATTATTTTGTTTTTAGATTCTGAGTGGAGCGAGGAATGTACTGGTTTTACAACGATTTGTTTATTTTTTTATTTATGTGAACACTTTTTCTACCAGAGAGCATACTCCGATTATCAAGTATAGCATCTTTTCTGAAAGAAATTTCGCATTAATATTCGAGATAATGTTGAAAACCTGGTTCTTTAGATTAAACAAGAATGAAAGATTAAAACACGATTGTCATTAGCGACCATTTTTATTTATTTTTTGTTATTATTAAGTTTTTATTATTTTAATCTTTTTTAAACATTCGTTTTTGTCATGGAAACGCGCATTGTTGTATTCATTTCATCATAATATGACATATAAATTATTGACGGAGCAACTCTATTAACTGAACTCTACTTAAAATCGTTTTTTCGTAAGCAATGATTTATAGTTGCTTACAGATTGCTGCACATTAAATTCCCGTCTGTATATTTCCTTCGCAACTACCCACCTATAACAGTGGCTGCACCCACGTGCGAATTATGTATTTTTTTTATAACATTAAAACCTAATAATATGGAATATTTATTTAAATGTTCAAAACAATTTAAAGTTACATTTTTCAGTTGATTTATATTGTTTAAATAGGATGTAAAAGTATTAATAACCTACGAGGACGCGTTAACTATCTCGCGTATAAGGGGTCGCGTATAGGCAATTCGCTCAACAATTTAAAATTGTGCCGAATAGTGTTTAGTTACTTTTAGTATTGGCAAACGTCAATATCCCTTGGATATATTGGTATACTACCGATACCAGGGTATGCGTTTGCGAAATCACTCATAAAACGACAAAATTCGTCGGTATTATAGCACGGCATCTTAAAGCGCAATAACACAGAATAATAGTGTCACTTTTTTTTTTATCGATTTTTAATTAAGTAGGTATATTCTTAAAGTTGTAGCCATGTAACTTGAATCGTAATAATAGTGCGTACACAATACAGTTGTATGAATTTAGGTACACTGTTAAATAATATTTTGATTCGGGAAAAATGTGACAGTTCTACCGGCTGTTACTTTTTTCTCTGATCGTTTAACTTGAAACTTGGCTATATAATAAGTATAAGTATACGTAAGGCAGTTAGTGTTCGAATTGAGGAGGATGATACGCATAGGAACTTCGTATTTCAACTAATTTTTCAGACATTTTTAAGTACCTCTACGGTATATATTATTTTTACATATTCATTAAAGTTTGAACTTTACGCGCTTATAAATCAAATAATTACTACATCACGCTCGATTATTGTGTACCTAAATAGGTACTAAAATTTTCACAACGTTTTTCTCGGTTTTTCGCCATTATTTATAAAACAACGAGGTAAATAAAAAAAAAAAAAAATGACCTCCTCATTACACCACCAAGACAATATACATGTATTCCATAGTAAATCGATCGTGGTAGAACCTAAAATAAACGTAAGTAACAGTAAGTCAACAGTTGTTTTATTACGTAAAGATTTTTTTTTTGCTAATTAATTATTATCATTGAATTGTTTTTAAAATTGGTATAAGGGGGTAGTGGGAGGTAAAACTTTCACGAAATTTGTTGAATTCGATTATTGAAAGAGGCGCTAATATTTGTCAAGTCTATAATATATAAATACTTCTATTTGTAAATGTCCAATTTAAGCGCCCCGAGATGGGGGGGGGGGCTGAAATTGTTTACAACACAAATACATAATTTCTATGGTACTAATTATTATAGTACCAGTTTTCAGCAACCAAAATCTATTTGTGATTGTCCGGGACCAACTTTGGTGGCGCACTCTTATGGCGTCAACGGTTAACACGTAATTACGAAATTAAAATATTGCAATCACAATCCACAGATATGTATAATACTATATTATCACACATGTGATTCAAATATAGTATAGTATCTAGAATCTATATAAAAAAAAAAAAAAATATAGACAAAATTGGAGAAATAGTGTGTCTGAGAGGGGCCTGAGCCCCCCGGATCCGTCCCTGATCCACAGTCGCCCGATCCATCGAAAATCTACATGGCAGCAGCGGATGATGAACGGTGCGCCGCGAAACCGGATATCCGAAATTCGACCACTAAACGAGGGCGTACCGACTCGGGGTTTTTGATGTTTTCGGAACGGAAATCGAATTATTTTTGTTGGGCCATGGGGTTACCTTGGTGACACGGATGTCACACAATATATTATATAATAGAAAAGCGAGTATGATGTCCGTGCGCGGTCTAGTATAACACAACTGCATTAGAACGGGGCGGTGTACGACGTTTGCCTGGAAATACGCGAAACGGCGGGGGGAAAGTGAATATCGGAGCGGTAATTTTTCGATGGTTCGCTGTGGCCCCGAAAATGTATACTACCCATTGCG